CTACAAACTTTTCAATCTTTCAGCGCTCAATAAGGTCTGAAATATCTAAGGTCTGAAAGTAAGGTCATATAATTTACATTTGCTTATTTGCAGTGAGTCTTGAGATCACCGATCACTAAAGTTGCTAAATCATAGCCGGCTGAACCCTCTCCTTCTGCCACAACAAATATACCACCCCCTTCTTCCTCTGAAAAACCCCACCCCCTCCCCCTGCTTACTCACACACCCCCTCTCTCTCACCGAGGGGCTGCCTATTCGGGGCTTTTAGCTTTCTTACCAACAATGCCACCCTTTAAAACACTGTTTTGAGGCCAACCTGGGAAAGAAAGTCTCAGTAAAGAACAAATATTGGTGACCTGACAAAGTGAAAATGTAAAATCGTTTTAAAAAAAAATAGTACATTAACCAAAACCAAAAGTCTCACATTAAATCTGACTATCTACTAAGCCAAGATCAAACTACAAGCTAGCAAGCAACAAAAAGAGACACAACACAAGCAAACGACACTGGTGATTGGCTGTGTAATGTTCAAGAAAAGCAACTTCCCAGAAAAGCTTATCAGTTTTACCTTTTAACAGGGACGGAGCAATGTGCAATTTTTTCCAAAAGGGCATCCAGTGTCTGAAAATCCAGCAAATCATTGGACTTGGAATGCATTTTGTAATCCATTTATGAGTTCCTCTCGGCACAAAAGCAAAACAGAAAGGGAACTAAAGGCAAGAAAAGTTCGTCACTCATTCCCAAAACACAGCGACTTCTCGCTCTCGAATCTCCAGTTCTGACATGTGTGTTACTAAAATCCACTGCGCCAAATACATGTTAATCCATAGTTAGTCCACCATAGTCCTGAGAGAAAGGTTTTGTGGTTCCTGAGAAACCTCTAAACAGAGTCTCGCTTGCGAGTGAGAGAGAGGCGCAGAGGCCTGAGGCCGGCTGGATCGGTTAGCTCTGTGCACCGGTCGGCTCTCTACCCCCTCCCCCTGTCGGCAGCACAACGGCCCAGTTGCCACAGGCACTTCGCCCCATTGTGTGTCCACCCAAGGCCTCGCTCACACAAACCGCCTCCAGCAGGGTGCCAGAAAGCAGGGGAAAGGAAGAACGAGCGAAGATGGCTCCGTAAAAACCCAGAATGCGCACTTTCTTTCTCTCGCTCGTTCGCCGAGAGCAGCGTGCTCTTACTCAAGTGAAAATGGCTCTGGCACTTCCTCATTGAGAAGAGGCTCTACCCACACACCCCTCCCTCGCCTCTCCGGCGCTTGCTCATTCTCTAACCCCTCCCTTCTCTTTCCCCATCAATAGCTCTCTCTCTCTCTCTGCCTGCCTGGCTCTTTCACTCTTCTCAACATATACACACACACACACACACACACACACACACACACACACACACACACACACCTTCAGCTCCCCACCCCCTTTCTCCCTCCATTTCGCCTTCCCCCACTCATTCTTTTCAGACCGATCTCCTGCATGCCTCCCCCACTACACTGAGGGCCATCTTATCTGCTGCCTTTCCACACGCCGCACACATTCACATGTCTAGACTGCATCGGCACAAAAAAAAACCCGCCACAGAAGGGCTGCCCAACAAGCGCGCAGGAACTGCCCTCCATGTCAAACTACACGGATGCTCGAGACGCTGTTTGGACGGGGAGGGTTTACAAGGGAAGAGTAGATGGAAACAGTGAGTGAGTGGACCCACGGGAGGGTGAATTAGAGGACAGCACAGGGATAAACCTCCATAAAACACATGAAAGATTGACGCAAATACTTCTTGCTTATGTGTCGATTTCAGTAGTGTCATCTGTGGGAAGGATTTTTTCAAGTTTCTCCAAGGTAATGTCGTCATTTGCCTGTTCCGCTGCATGATTCACAAACTTTGATACAGACGGCCTCAAGTATGGTGTGGAAATTATGAGCGTTTGTTTTACATCAGGGCTCTGCATGTTGAGTCTAAAGCGGAGTGGTTTCAGCCACCATGGCTTATTAAAGGGTTAGTTCACCCAAAATGCAAACTGTGTCATGGCTCATCCTCATGCCTTTCCAAACATGTCTAAATTATGACTACTTCCGTGGAACATGGGAAAGCACCATAAAAGTAGACCATATGACCCATGTGTTATATTACAAGTCGCTTGAAGCCATACAGAAGATTTGTGTGAGTAAAAAACAGAAGTCATTGCTCACTAAAAATCTTTTTTTCCACAGCTCTCATTTGCACTTGTTCGCATATTCAAAATGAGATACATGGGAACCAATGGCCATTGATCTCACTGAAGTCTAATCTTGAAGTGTGAACATACGCAAGTGAAAGTGATATTTGAGAACTTAAATTTACACCTGTTTATCACACAAAGCTATTGCAGGCATAAGGTTTAATTTGTTAACATTAGTTAACTACATTAATAAACATTAACCAAGACTGAACAATACTTCTACAGCATTTATTAATCTTACGTCATGTAAATTTCAACAATTACTTGTCCATTTTTTAAATCAAAAGTAAAATCTAATACCATTAATGCACTGTTAACTAACAAACAATTAACAACTGTATTTTTACTAAATAACATTAACAAAGAATAATAAAACATAGCTAATTGATAGTTAATTTTAGATTAAGCATTAACAAATAATGTTAACAAGAGACCTTATTGTAAAGTATGACCCTGTTGTATAACTTTAGAATAAATCTAAATATGACTACCATACGGTGGGAGATTGACAGTCACTTTTAGGCTTCCACTGTATGGAAAATTGGGAGTTTGGAATGAAGTGATGAGTAAATGACAATTTTCATTTATGGGTGAACTATCCCTTTAAACACAGAATTACACATCAATGTTTGTGTGACAGAGTGGGACGACCTCTCATTACATGGACTGTCTCCTCCCCCGATGGCATCAGCCCACCATCTGTCCACACACACCCCTCATCATCATCATCATCATCATGACTCAGGCTAATTTCCTCCCATCCTCCCACCTTCTTTGCCACTTTTACCTCACTCTTTTACTTTCAGTTCAGGGCCACCCAGTTACACAGCGGTCACAAACGCCGACAGCCAGCACATGGTGCAAGGGAAAATGTTGGAAGTGAGAGAGAAGAAAAGAAGAGCGATGGTTTGTGAGCTGCTGTAACCGGCAGAAGGGCATGAAGTGAAAAAAGACACCAAATCGAGTGAGCCACTCCAGAGACTGTCAAAGCTAATACTCTCAATTCAGTGGTTGAATTATTTACATCTAGAGTTTACAGATTAGGAGTTAGATCTCAATATTTATCTTTTGACAAATGTATTCCATGTTTTAATATTTACGTATTTGCTCTGAAATTATTTAAAGGGCCATTTTTGTCCTTCAGATGAACTAATATTTCAAACCTTGTACCCAAGATGAAAAATGTTTAAAGTAAAATCAATAACAAAACATAAAATTCAATGCTTTTTCAATATAGGAAAAATAATGTCATTTTATTTATATGCCCCAATAAAAGAATACATAACTTGCTCATTATCTTATATTGGGGCATATCTACATTCATACATTGATAAATGAAAAATATGAAGATTAAGGTTGAAAAGTTAAAATTATTAAATTATTCTCCAATATATTCATCAAAAATTGTTGTGGCCTATAGGACCTCAATAAGAGGCTGTACGTCCATCCCTCAAAGCCTCGTTTTCATTGGCATCAAATTAAATACGGCATCTACTCCAAAGTCCATGTATATTTGATTCGGTCTCATTAAAGGACACTTGTAAACAATCAGTCCAACTCAAAAGGGAGAGGGATTTACATTAGAAGCTAACGAGCAATTATCACGTATTGAGTGCCAGTGAGAATAAAAGAGGGGCGTCGTGCTGGGCCATGTAAGAGTGACAGATCTCTGTAGAGATGGTCACAACAGCAGATACAATGTCAGAATCAGAATCAGAATGAACAGATGTGACTGGGAGAATCCTATGTAAGCTCATCTACCTCTTTATAAACCCAAACCTTCACTGCTCAGACAGAGACAAAAACACTGCTACCTACCCGTCTTTCATGCCTTTTATTGCTCTTATTCATAGGTATAGCACTGAAGGGGAAAGTAATAAGCCAGGTTCAAAGTCACAACATGAACACAGCTCAATATTATACTGCATGCATTTAACCACTGTGCCACAGTTTTGACCACCTTTAATTCTTTAAGGGCTAATTACCGGATCTTGCGAAAGCAAATATCCTTACTCATACTTCTGGTTAAGGGGTTCAAATTCAAATCCCTGCGTGTTAAAAAATTGGCACATAACCTCTGCTGTTTGTACTACAAACATGAATAGCATCTCAAATCGCATGCATTGAAGAGAGAGGCGTGATATTAAGGAGCTCTGAACTCACAATTTTCACCTGGATAACACTACCATTCACTATCATGCAAACGTTTGTGCTTAGTATGATTTGCGTTTTTGAAGGAAGTCTCTAATGCTCACCAAGGCTGCACTTATTTGATCAAAACTACAGTAATATTGTGAAATATTACAATTTATAATAACTGCATTTTTGAATATACATTAAAATGTAATTTATTCCTGTGATGCAAAAGCTGAATTTTCAGCATCATTACTCCAGACTTCAGTGTCACATGATCCTTTAGAAATCATTCTAATATGCTGATTTGCTGCTCAAGCAAACATTTAGTATCAATGTTGAAAACAGTTGTCACATTTTTGTGGAAAATATAAACATAAGTCAGTTTTCAAGAAATTTCACTATATTAGTGAGGATATTTGGCCCTTACAAGTAAACCAAAACTTGTACACACAGTGCTTCCTGTCTACCAGAGGGGACAGGAACCCTGACCTTTGACCTCAACCCCTCACATTCCAGGTAAACCTCTATCCTGCCCCAACCATCTGCACTCACTTTTACTGCCCCATCACAGGACTCCACCACTCCTATAAGTGTGTGGGGGTGTGTGTATGTGAGACCTTCAGGCTGTATATATGGCTGGGGGAGGAAAAGACATCCTTCAGATTTCACATTCTGTCAGGAAGCACTCTGCAGCAGCGCGCCAGAGTCTGGCCAAACAGCGGCAATCCCTCCACCCGGAGAGCACGTGCCTTCCCCAACACTGTCTGAGACAATACAGCAGCTGCCCGAGTGACAAAGCACAACTCAGAGGCTGGGACGACTCTCACCAGCATTTGGTGGCTGATTTTCTGTGTGTGTGTGGGATCCTGCATTCAAACATAGATGGGTTTGGGTGAGAAGGAAGAGAATAGGGGGGATGGGAGGAATGGATGAGAAGGAGGCGGCGGCAGGCGAGCGCCTTCAGACTTTTGAGCCCATTAATCATCTGAACGTTTAAGAAGCCCAAGCCAACAGGGAACTGGCTGGAGAGAACAGGGACAAGTAATCTGCTCTGTCTGTGTGTGTGTGTGTGTGTGTGTGTGTTTGCCTGCATCAAGGGGGAGGAGTACAAAGGCTAGAGCAGGGGAGAGTGAGCCCATGAAGAAAAGAGGGAAGTACAGGATAGACAAAAAACAGAACAATGAAAGGCTTTCATGTGACCCATTGAGTGAAATGAAGAGGACACATACACACGCACGCACGCACACAAAAAGAGCTCTCCTTTCTCCCCATCTGCTCCTAACGTAAGCCTCCTGTGGCACACGGGACAGAACCCCTCCCATCTGTCGTTTGGGGCGATGTGCCCTGCAATGACACAGTAGCCATACGCTGGCACACAAGAGCACCAACAGACACCTTGACCCCTCTCTGTCTCCTGTCATACAGCCGCTGCGCTGCGCTGCACGCACCTGTCGTAACTCGCACATGCTCACAGCAGTAGACGTCCTCTGGAGGACACGGATCATCTTTAAAAGGGCACAAGCAGAAACAAGTCAACTATTTTTGACGCAGATACAAACAAACACTGCCCTAAAGCCCAACTGAAAATGTTTGCACTGTCTGGTGCACCTTCAGTATGGAAGGCTGAAGAAAGGCTGAAGAAAGGCTGAGAATCAGTCCCTTCATACATTTATAAATAAAAGAAACCACAACACTCAATATGAAAGTCACGGCTTACTGTTAAGAGCGGATTTTTTTTTGTATACTCAAAAGCACTTATGCGCATTAGCTTTGAGCAGCCTGAAAAAGACTGTTTTAGCCTGATTTGATCTTAAACACAATTTAAGATGGCACTGTGGTTACATTTTATTCCTGATTTTTTAAATACACTACCGCTTCAAGTTTTGGGGATGGTAATATTTTTTAATATTTTTGAAAGACGTCTCTTTTGCTCACCAAGACTGCATTTATTTGATAAAAAATACAATAAAAACAGTAATATTGTGAAATATTATTACAACTTAAAATAACCATTTTCTCTTTAAATACATTTTAAAATGTAATTTATTCCTTTGAAGCAAAGCTGAATTTTCAGCATCATTACTCCAGTCTGAATTTGAACATTTGAAAGGTAGTGTATATTTTATGACGCACATGCATAGCACGAGCTTCCATAACATCCAGATCCACACAACAAACACTGCAGTTTATACTGTTATTAGGTTCACTTTCATTGTGCATTAAACTAGAGATCATCAGCATAAGACAATAGTATGAGAGTCTGTTTGAAGCACTCTTACTATTTTGTACTGTAACTGCTCTGTTTTTATTCGCCATACATACTTTAAAAGTACACTTTAGTTAACTGAGGATTCATAAACCAACCAGATTAAAGCCTCCAAAACAGAGGTGGATCAAAGGATTTTAGCAAAGGAAACTGAATAACTGCTGTGCATGAAACACTGCAAACATACCACTGATCTGCATTACACACTGACAAACTGATCAACGGGTTTATTTTCAAATAATAATTTTTTCACTGTCCTAAATTAAAAGGGTCTGACATGCACAAAGTTTGAGGTTTTAAAGTTTGATGTTTAAGTGTCAGTCCTCACACACTGTAGCTTTTTAATTCATTGTTCAGTTTTTCCACTATTGTTAGTCTACTATTGCACTTTTTTTTTTTAAAAGATCAGGGACAGTGTTAAAAATAAACTTCTGCTAGTTTCTAAAGCTGGGATTCTTCAGAAGTATGCGCAGCGGGCCGCGAGTGACAGGAGGCCAGAAACACCTGAAGGTTGGGTAAAAGTTCCCTGATATAGTAAAACTAAATAAAGTAACTTCCCATACCAGTTTTTCTACAGTATTAGTAGTTCAAACTAAATTCAGGAGTTCTGTCATCGCATTGAAATCCAGTCTATCAGCTGTAGACAAGCTGTAATCATTTTCTGCCTTCGCCACATGCTTTAGTCACAAGTACGTAAACTATAGTTTAAGTGACAGTCACAAACAAATGAGATCTTGAGGCTCGATGTTATAACAGCCAAACAAATGCATGCACAACAACAACAACAATAATAATAAACAAAAATACATTTAAGCAGTTAGTACTTCAAAAAATACTGTTTTATTTTTGTATTATTGCTTGTGCATTTTTTATATTACAGAAATTGTTTTAATATATTTAACTTATTGATAAAAAAGGATCTACATTAGCATATTTATTTTTGTTGTGATATAATGACAAACTTGAGAAACACAAAATTAAAGGGGTCATATGATGCGATTTCAAGTTTTCCTTTCTCTTTGAAGTGTTAAGGCTGATTTATACTTCTGCGTCGAACCTACGCCGTAGCTTACGCATAGACGCACACCCATACGCCGTAGCCTGACGTGCACCTCTCCAAAAATCTAACAGCGCGTCAATTCTACGCAGACCACAAGCGCTGTGATTGGTCTGCAAGAACCCCTCCCTCCATATGTACTTGAGTTTTGTGTGTGTTTATGTGCACTTTAATATATTTTAATGTTACACCTTCTTATATAAAATAAAACAAAGCAAAGAACAAGTGTCTTATCATTTATTATACTACATAACATTATACATCAGTAGTTGTCCTCAACAAACAATGTTGATCAATAATGTTCTTTTTAGCAACATCATATGACCCCTTTAACATTTTGAAGATTTTAGGCTAGATGTAATGACAGCCAAATAAATGCATGCACAATAATAATAATTTAAGTAGTTAGTACTTAGAGCTGGGAGATATGGCCAAAAAAATTATCACGATAAAATTTTTCACATCAGTCAATATCGATAATGATCACAATAACCTTCAAATCTTTATTTCTTTCAAATTTAAAGGCAGATTTTTGCTCCCAATTGAAAGTTGTAGAAACCAGACCGTTAATTGTGGTTTTAAACTACTCTTTATTGACAGAACATGACAGACACTTCACATTTTTTAATTCTTTACACTTTTCCAGTCAGTTTTCTTTAAAATAAATATCTTAATAGAAAAATGTATTTCTTAGTTTCTGCATGTTCTAATGAGTGATGTTGTTTTAAATCATGAAATAGGTTTGTGTTGCTTGTCTTTGATGATGTGTATCTTCAGCACAGTTTGCAGTGCAGGCTGCAATATTAATAATATTAAATTTTTTGTCTCTTAGAAATGCAGATTTGACAGTAGCTTGAGTTAGGATGCAGATGTCAATTTATGTTCATTATCAAAAACAGTAACATCTGTAACAACCTCATTTTTATATGGTGAAATTTAATTATTCTGTCTGTTTGAGGGTTTGTTTGTTTTTTTGAGTTTAGAATTAACCATTGGTCTTCCATAGTAGCATATATTTAGATCATGATAACCACAGTTAAAACCAAACATATAGCACCTCAATACCATGGTATAAAAATGTAACTATATGGTTTCTATATATTTGTATGCAAAACAGTAGTCTAAATACATTTATTGCACAAGCGCTATAGCTCAATAACAAAAAATACTGTATTTTTATTCCATTACTCCTTTAATACATTTTATACATGTCTACATTAATAATATAATAAAATTCTATGTGAATATCCCACATTTCTGCCACGATACCATGGTCCAGTTAGTGTTACTACAGTAAATACTGTAAATGATGGCGATTTGTAGACAGAAAAGCCTTCTGATTGTATCGTTGCACACAGTGTTTCTGCTGTTTGTCAGCGCTGTTTCATCTGGCTTTAAACACGTTTAAATCACTGAGTCATTTGTGTTCTTCTCTGAATTCAAGCACTTCACACTGGATCTCACAGCGCTGTTCAGTGCTCGCGTGACCGACACTCATCAGCGAGTAAACACATCTGCTCTAGTAAGCTCGTGTTGCACTGCCATTTGAACTTTGAGCTGAGCGGATAAATTATGCTCCATGTGGCGCAGTTCAAATGAGTAGCGCTGTTTTGTTCCGCTTTTGGCGCATAAACATTATATCGAACTCGTTATTGTTTTATTGAGGAAAATTATATCACGATAATTATCGTTATCGAATTACCACCCTGCCCTATTACTACTTAAATTTTTAATTTTTTATCATTACTTGTTGCATTTTTTTTTTACTTTACTGCCATTGTAGGGCCCTATGATTTCTGTGATGTGGAAAACATGGACGGAATCGCAGAATTCCAGTATAGGTCAGTCAGGGTTCCCACTCTTTCATGAACACCAGATTCAAGGACTTTCAAGGACTTTTTAAAGCACCATTTATTTTATATCAAGCACCTATCAAATTCACACCCCAACATATGCAGTGTCATGAAAGACCTTACAGTACTTAACATTTCACCACTTACACTTAACATTTACATTAAAAATATCAGAGTAATAATGTTTTGAATGTCTAGGTTTCATAAATTTAGACCGTTTGAGTAGTTGTGTTATTTAATTAAATCCATTGAAGTCAGTACTGGTAATATTCAAATACAATTTCTAAAATATTGATAAAATATGCATCAAACTGGTTTTTGCTGTAGTTCTTGTACAAGATTCAAATTTGAAAGAATTTCTCAATTTTTAAATTAATAAAAAGTGGTTAAATGTTGTAATAACATGGTAAGACCTGTTAACAAACAATTTGCACATTCACTCAAAAGAGACGTTACTCATTAATAAATAAACAAGTCAAAATAATTTTGTAAATTACTTTTTATTGTAAATCCCATTTTTTCATCTTTGACCTAGAGGAATGCAGCTGCTCAAAATGTCAATATATTTTTAAAATATTTAATAAATATTTTAAACCTTGTACATGTGCAAATTTGCAAAAAAAATATTAAGAAAAAAAATAGGACTTTCTATTTGCTTTTAAACTGTAAACGC